CAGGAATTTCTGACTGAATTGCTCAACCGGACGCTTTGAAGCGCTCAATTTGCTTAATAAAAACAAAGAAAATCACTGATGGAAATGTCTGGCTGCCTTTGAAAGGCACTGATGTGTTTTTATCGTGGCCGGAAAATTTTCTTGATTTGTATCGATTTATTGCGTGTGTTTATGGTGGCATTGCAGGCGAAAAAGTAAAAACCGTTGACATTGAAGTGAAAGCGGCTATAAAATTAACGTGCAAATCAGGTCGTGTTTTATATTCATTAGACAAATCGTAACAAACGACACTGCATGGACCGCCAATCGCGATTACGAAAATTGGTTGCTTTGCAAAAAAACAGTGGTTGAAATGCGTTGAAAATTCAACAAATTAGCTTCAGTACTTAAACAGAATTTGCGATAAGGCAGTAGCTGCAGTTTAATCCAGTTTATGAAAATATTTAGTTTCATCAAGTAAACATATTTGGGGATGAAAGTGTAGCTGGAGTTTAAGCCAGCCAAATGAACTATTGGGGTTCGGGCATAAAAACAATGAATAAACTGTTTGGGAAGCTTAAGAAGCATTTTGAAGGGAAATCGCCAAAGTAAACGGTGCGCCCGTGGAATTGCAGCAGGACAATAACATTTTGAAATGTTATTTGATAAATAACTTTCCATCGAAAAAACCGTCGAACAATTAGCTGTAAATGCGCCTAATCGAGGCATAAGATTCGCATTCTGGCTCTTCGATTGGGTTTACAATTCGCGGAATTTTCAGGTACGGTCTAACCAGGCCTATAAAGACGAACTTTAAATCGCGATTTTTGTGCTCATGTGACCATTTAATGAACATTTTCCAATTTTACTTTGTTTCAAAATCAATAAAGTACAATCCGCACGATGGTTTTTGAGTATTTTTAGTTTCTTATTTGCGTTTGTGCTTTTGAAGCTTAGTTTTCTACTTCGGTGATCTTTTGGATTGCTTTACTCGCTTGAAGTAAAAAGCGCATAAATGCAGGATTAAGGAACACAAAGAGTCACGGTCCAGTTAAGCAAATTGTTCAACTAAATACCTAACTAAAGTTTTTGATTATTTGGTTTGAAAATCTAGTTTTGTTAATTTAAATAGGTAATTAAATAATTAAAAGAGCGTATAGAGCACGGCGTACGCCGCTGATTTTGTCCCCCTTGTCTCAGTTAAATTAACAAGAAATTATTGGGGTGTGGCGAATATATAACACTCAATCTCTTACGGCTGATCCCATTTTGCGTGTTCTTGGCGCGATGTTATTTTTCTAAAAGTGAAAGTGATCGATTTGAGGTTTCGGTTGATTTCGGTTTTTTCCTTTATTTGGTCATTTTCACTTCAATCAGCGAAATGAGTCGGTGGCACGCTACAGTAGTGGTTTTAGTGGTAAGTCGCACATTTTGGGTACCCAACAAAAATAGCAAAATGCGAATTTATTCGCTAATATTTCTTATTTGCGTGAAAAATCACCACAAGGAGTCAAGTCTCAATATTAATTTAAGTCGCTTATTATTAATTTTGTTGCGTTTGAATAGTTTAGTTCTGGACAATTATACAACAACAGTTTTTTGAGCTTTTAGGGGCAAGTTGATTGAAAAAATTTGAAACTTGCCGAGTTGCAGTTCTATCGACGCAAGACTCATCTAAGAGAGAGCACATTTAAATTTCGCGCGTGAACTTTTTGGAAGTTGCAAAACATGGGCGTTACTCTGACCATTTAATATCAAAACAGTTTTTCTCCTCTACTTAAATTATCCAATTGGAAAATTCGAAGATTTCAGCCAATAACGTTGCCTGTAAGAGAGAAACTATTGTGCAGCAGCAGACAAAAGCATTACATCGATTGTCTGCAGAGCGAAAATTTTACTTACCGAGACACTTGGAAGCAGTTTTATGGCTGCTTTTCCATAAATTTTCACTGGATTAAACTCAAAATGCATAAAAATTCGGACAACAACTGTCAACTGAACAACTGAACAAAATCTTGACAGTCAGTTTTCCAATTAAGAACTGTGTTGATACCCTTGTTGCCATGGGTACGATGTTGGCTTTTGATGTTGCCTGTCAACGGCTACGCGCCAAATTCAAATTTGCGCACTTTACGCGGAAAAACATAAAAACA